AACGAAAATTGTGACACGAGAATTTTATATATAAGATAAATTATTCATATTTGTAGAATAGCTACCGCTCGAGACTCCGTCCGTGCGGAATTAAAAATACTTAATTAGTAGCCTATGTGTTCTTCCAGATTATGTTCTATATTTACGTCAAATTTCTGCCAGATCTATGCAGCCATTCTGGACATACATTGTAACAAATATCCATCCATTCATCAATCCAAACATTCGCAATTATAATGTTAGTAAGATGTGACTTTTCTTTGGAGAATCGAGTAGAAATAGCAATAGTTAGAACAAAGAAATGTATAAAAAACAACCTTGCATTTGGTTAAGGTTTTTGCATTGTCATATACTTAAGGCTATTTCTATCCAAAAACGATTTAATGTAAAGCTCCTTTAAATCCATGAAACTTAAACCTTTCTAGACAATCACACAACACATTGATCGGTCAATGCAAAGTTTAAATTCTTAAATAAAGACAACACGATTTAAACTTCAAATAATGATTGTGTTACATACAAAACATGATTCAAGGTTCACAGATAAAAAATAAAAGTTTTATTTTTTAACGTCAAAGTGTAAATATCGATAGGATCTTATCAAACGCGGCGCCGAATATTGATGAAATAATTGACATCCGACCAACAAAAAGACCGCAAAAGATTCTCTTAAGATTTAATTATAGTACAAAATTTAAAATTAACACCTAGAGTGACATGTTTTCTTATACGAAATACTAAGACAGAAAAAAAAACAAAAAGTTTCTCACGATCAAACTTCGGCAGTGAGTTCCGACTTTTGCTAATGGTCATCGCAATTATAATGTTCGGATGCTTTTAAGTTTTTTGTTCAAAGTTTTTAACCTAATTTTGTCGTAGAACAAAAAGATCACAATACGAAAAACAAGTGAATGATAGTTAAATTAACTTTTAATTTGAATAAAGCTGAGATTTATCTACTGCCAGTTTTAGTTATCCCATACATCTTTTACAAATTTACAATAGAATTTTATGTAAGAATAGCCTGCGACTAAATAAAAAAAAATTAGCCTATGTGTTCTTTCAGGCTATGTTCTACATCTATTCTTTTCAGCAAGATCCATCAAGCCCTTCTGGAGATACCTTATAACAAACATCCATAATCCATCCATCCAAACATTTGCATTCATAATATTAGTAAGAAGTATCGATCGAAGATGATGGTGAGGCATAATAGTTATACATTTTTACTAGCTGTCACCCGCGACTCCGTCCGCGCGGAATTAAAAATAGATGTTGGCCGATTCTCAGACCTACTTAATATGCTCACAAAATTTCATGAGAATCGGTCAAGCCGTTTCGGAGAAGTATGGGAACGAAAATTGTGACACGAGAATTTTATATATAATATTTTCATAATATACCGTAATATTAAAAATATCAATGCTAAAGTAAAAACTGCCTTCTACACACGAATAAAGACATCAATAAGAGAGTTACTCTTAACATTTATTGTGAAAGTGTTACCTAAATAATTTTGTGTCAAAACGTGACAATAATTACGACAAAATTGGTAAGAAGGGGGAATCTATTAGCCGACTAAAGAACAGAAAAAACCAGTGTTTCCTAAAACATTCGGTGTTCGAAAATGTCAAATCATGCTATCCATTTACGCGCCATAATACAGTTGTTGAAAACATTTGGTATTTGTTAATTTAAGTTTCAAATATAATATTCAGACAAAAACATATTGGCATCTATCACCTCTTATTTAAATCTTTTTAAAATTTGAGTCTAAGAATGTTTTATTTGTTTTTTAATCTGTATAACCTATGATTTGTGACGCCTAAAATATATCATGTTTAATACTGTTCAATAGTAGACACAGTTGACTTTACAGGATCTGGCGTATTTATCGTTCTGCGCAGTATTCAACAATCTATCAACCAATTTAAATAAGAGTTACTTACATATGTTTCTTTCGATGGCAGGCAGTAATGTCATAAAAAGTCTAGTTGCACTGTCTTTTAAAATGTTGCGAACTCCTGACGGCGGCGTCTGCTTTAGTGTTTGGTTGTTTACATCACTCCGAACTACACGAACGATACAGATCTGTACAGCAACAGTCGCACAAAGAAGTTTGTATAACATTCTTTTCACGTAAGCACTTCGTTATTCATTCAGGAAATATCAGCAAATACAAATAACAAACGCATTTTTTAAATAAAGAACACAAGTTAACACAAACATAATTGATATATAATATTTAATACTGTTAAATATTTGTAGGGTAGAGAAAGAATAAGTTTGTTCTAGATTATAAAAGTCAATTGACATCCTAATTATTTATATTTAGGTGAAGTTAAAATTAGTATTCACTATTTAAGTTCCTATGTATTTTACTGCAGTTATTAAAAGCAGGTAACATGTGGGTAGGACTTTGTGCATTATAATTTGCAATTAGTGCCACGATACTGTGTTATTAAGGTTTTTTCGCTTTCTTATTGAATATTTATAAAGTAATTTCACTAAAAGCAAAGCTATTAGATATAAGGGGAACTTGATATGAAGAACTAAGTATATTAAGTCTTAAATAAAATGGTTCTCCCTAAAACAATTCTTGTACGTATCTTAGGTAATAGAAAATTTGGTTATAAACTTGAATGATAGAAAACTTATTACTTAAAGACGTTAGTAATCTACTGAACAGATTTTCATAAAACTTTGGTAGGATATTTTAAAGACGACAGACAAGGATTTTTTTTCGTCTTCTTGAAGCCACTTCGTAGCTTTTTGACTTTTTCAGTTAGATTAAATATAAGTTAGAATTATTTTCTATCGCACGTTAAGTCCCTCTTAGGTTTAGTATAACAACATATAAAGGCTTGATTTATAGACCTAACGTCTCTGAGTGCAGTAAATCGCAAATGCGGTTCTTCACACTTACATAAGTGAAGTGGGAAGGCAGTATAACTTTAAGTGGCATGTTAAGAAAGAAGGCTCGGCCTGCTCTGTGCCCCTTCTAATTATCCCCGAGATCCGACGATAGCGGACGCTTTTATCCAACACTTCCATTAAGCAAATATACATCTACCCGCCTAATGATATACTACAGTATTTTCCAACTCTAAAAACAATTAAAAATATTTTGATAGACAAAAATATGTTTCTTATTTGATCCATCTGTAGTTAATAGTCAGTTTATAAGGAAAAAATAATTTTTGTTTTAACGTGTTTTATCGTAAAGTTTGTGTAATAGAAAATTGTTGATTTTATCTTTAATGATTAAAAACTTAGATAAAACTATTTGAGTACATTTATTTTTAGTTTAAGCTGCAATTATCAATTCTAATATACATGTTTATTTTATGCTATTCCACCGACTAGATTCTACGACTTTTATTCAACACAACCGCGTCCAGTGGAAACAGCCACTTTATCTCTACGATACAATCAATTCAACCAAATAATTTAGAAAATTCTATTGGTATAACATTACACGGACGTTTAGGTGTAAATGCGACGTAATCAAATCATTGGCTACAAATTACGTGAAGTAGAGAGGTGACGTCGCAAATGGAGCGAACAGCGCCCTCTGTCGCCCGTCGACTGCTAATTTGCAAATTAACGCGACACTCGCGCGCTCTCATCTAATTAATATCACCTCTGATATCACACTCCGCTTTTAATATACGAAAACTTTATTATAAAATAGTATACGGAATTAATTTGATATAAAAAGTAATGAAACATTTTCGGAAACTTCCTTTTAAGGATAATAAAATGTCGAAGACATAACCTAAAAACACACTTATTAAAAGCTAACGGTCTCCGGAACTCCGTCTGTGCGGAATTAAAAAAATTAACGTTCTTCCAGACTATGATCTACTTCTATGCCAAATGTCATTGAAATCCGTTCAGCCAATCTGGAGATACCTTCAAACAAACAACCATCTATCTAAACATTCGCATTTCTAATATTTGTAAGAAGGTAACAATTGATTTCCAGAACATGAATAAGGAAAAATATAGCTTAACAACTATTTGGTTGCTCTTTTTCTATGGATTGATATTTTTTCTTTTACCCAGCATATTAAGTTTTGCATCTAAAATATGTATTGGCCATGAAAATTGGGTTGATTAGTTAAATAAAAAATAAAGCGTAAAAAACTGTAACAAAGGTGTTGTCTCCAATATATTAAACGCTAGGTAACATTATTTGGACGCGTCTAATGGAGTAAGTGCTCCGGCAAATGGCCTGCGCCGCGCTTTTAATGCAATTTAACTTCCCTTTGTGACTGAGAATTGGCGCAATCAATCCATTTACACTTTGTTGTCGCCAACAGGCAGCGCCTACGTAGTGCGGGGGCTTTTAGCGAAATTATTCCTTTTTTTATTATACCACTATTTCTATTTACATTAATGATAGAACTTCAGGAAGCAAAGCTGACTTTACTTAAAATAGTTTTTTAATGTTTCGTATTTTACTTTTATTAATGGCTTGCTGTCGCCCGCAACACCGTCAACGCGGAATTTTAAAAAAATATAATTAGCCTGTGTTCTTCCAGACGATGTTCTACATCTATGCCAAATTTTAGCAAGATCCGTTCAGCCGTTATGGCGATAACTTCAAACAAACATTCATCCATCCATCAAGCCTCTTAAATTCTAAAAAATCGCATTTATAATATTAGTAAGATATTGTGTAATTTCCTTTTTATTATAAATATTTTTGATAAACTTTTATAAATATATTCTGTAACACGAAACATAATGTTATTGAATTGCACAAGATTTTTTTTATAACAGAAGGGGAACGAGGCAGACGAGCAGCGGGAACACAGAGGTGTTCAACGACGCCCATGGACATCAACAATACCAGATTACACAGTTTTCGAAATTACAGTTTTTTTTTACTTTAATTACTTGTTTTTATTGACTTTTTGTGTCTTTTTGTCACTTTCTGACTAATTTTTATCACTCATTACCTCTTTGTTGAACAGAAAAGTAATTTCAAAATGACATGACTTTTGACAGGCATTGACATTTGAATAATGTTTGCTAAAGTGCAAAAGGAATCTTAGAAAATAAATAGAATATAATGAAGAAAACGTACATACCAAACATCGACCGCAACATTTATATCGACAATTGTAAGTAGTATTTTTAAATAGAAATAAAAAAACATCTTTCCCTCGCTTTCTTTAAAAAAATTGGGGCCATAACAAATTTTATTTGGCATTTTCGGCCATGCGAACTAACGGTCATTTGCCCGTTTTATGAAAACGTTTAGGTCTCCATCATAAAGATGTTGCTTTGTTCATCGAATATTCATTTCGGACCTCTAGGTATTTAATTAACTTACCTTATCTTTAATAATAAAATTGTGTTTCAGATTTTTCCAGCTCAATGATACCATTCCAAAGCACCTTAGAACAACAATCTAGTTTAAAAATCATCGAATTAAACGATTCAAACACAACAGATTCTGATGAAAATTACGATCAACAACATACCTGGTGTTACGTTGATAAACGATTAGAAAAAGAAAGTGAATCTAAGTACAAAGTTAACGCACAAGCTAGAGCAAAACGACGAATGAATAGAGTATCACCTGAAATTGTTAACAAAACTATTGATTATTTAACGTATGACAATAAAGATTTCGTTGAGACAGAAAATAGTAACTTAAGTAATGCTTTATATAATGCATTAACTACAGAAAGGATACCAAATAATCCTTTAAATTGTTTCACAATAATTAACAACGAACTGGCTGATTCTGATCAAACTACATCAGACAATGAAGACAGTATGAAAATAATACAATGTGGTGACGTTGTACTTGAAGATCATAAAAGAAGTATCTACTCAAATGAAACGAATTATAACAGGAATATTGATAGCAAAAGAACAATATGGATTTATTCATTTAAAAATAGAAATTTACTAACCGAAGAATCGGAAAACGTATCAACAGAAGATAGTACTTCTTCCTCGTCATTTGAAAATAATGATTATAAAGAAAGAATATCAACACCGATACCGTCTTTTATACCGAGATTAAATTTTTATGTAGCGGCAACACTACCACCGGTGACAGAAGTAATTGAACCTTTGCATATTGCAACACCAAATAATATAGATAAAACAGAAACGTTGGTATCAAAATTGCAAGTAACTCCTCAATTCTCAGAACAAAATAGCCCAGCTTTAAATACTGCTGTACCTTCGCAAAACATTATAAATTGGATGGCTTTATCACCAAGAGAACGTAGAAGAAAGATTAAAACTAATCTAACAGATGTCATAGTAAATGATTGTGAAATAAATATTGCTTCAAACAAACACACAGAAAGCAATTTGCCTCTCAATATAGATAAAGATTTAACTTACGTCATACCTAAAAGAAACGAAGTTGACAACGAAATAACAATTGACAGTAATCATGATGACAATACAATAGATGAAAAAGGAGATCACAGACAAATAATACAATTAAAAAAACCACAAATTTTATTAAAAACAATATCACCAAACATTACTGATCCTATTGAAAAACTTAACGGAGATGAATGGATTGGTAGCAAAGATGAAAACAAAGAAGAAAATCTTGATATAGACGAGAAAAAGATTGAGGAAATCCAAAAACCTGTAAATATTATAAGGTGCGCAGGTGATAGACTATTAAATAAAAATATGACATTATTAAAACCAGTAGAATGGGCACAATACTTACCAATTACTGATAGCATACCATCTCTACACCTCTCGCTTCCATCTGATATAAACGATGAGAAAAAATCATGGTTCAAATATATCATTAAATATTTTCAATGCTGTAAAATATGTAAATAAATAAAACAAAACTTTTCATATTGGTGAATTTATTAAATTCAATCACAAATTTCCAATTAATGGAGTACTTACACAAAAAAAACACCTGTTATTCATTAAGGTACTTTGTAAAGAGAGAAAAAAAATCACGACACAAATTCAAACATCCTATATACACATGTTCATACTATCACAAAATTTGCCAACATAACTATAAGTAAAATATGTTTAAATGGATATATGACATGAAAATGCAGCAACATATACGTCACATGAAATATACCTTACATACATAATTTTAAACATATACATATATAGACGAATAAATTTAGCATATAAATGTAGAGGTAAATTATTATTATGAGACTGTCAGTGTTTACATCTATTACTTATTTTATTTTACTTACATTTTAAATTGAATAGTTTTTTTTCAATCTGGCAACATTACATGCGTGTATTTGTAGCCATTTAGTTGCTAAGGTATAATTGAATTACGGATTATATATTTACGATGTAATTTTAAATTTTACGTAGCGAAATGCAATTATTAACCGACTATTTTAATGAGTATTATTATATAGACCGATAAAGTTATCTGACACGGTGGGCATAAGTCAAACTAAATTATGACAGCTCACTAGCGCCCTCCTGTCAAAGTCAAAAAAGCACAAGGGCCTTGCATTGTGTCTTGTCACGTTTTTTTCTTTTATGTAATTTTCTATGCCCAACGTGTACATGGGAAAGGATGGGAAGGGGAAGTGGATTTGACGAAGGCATAAGAAGGGGAAGCATTCTCTTTCTGTGTCCCTTCCTCCGTCGATTAAAGGTAGGCAACGCTTTTGCGATTGCGGATGTCTATGGGCAGCGATCACTTCACTATTATGACGAATCCAGGTGGATGTTTACTCAATTTAAAAAAAAACATATTTTTTGAAAGATTTTACCGCGATAGCAGCGCCTCTCACCGGTTCAGATATCTTTGACTGCACTATATTTGTGTTATATTTCGCGAATGCACTACGAATGATTAAATTCATATTTTACTTATATACATTTAATATTATGAAGCTAGATTCATATATATTCCTATATCATTTAAATGAAATATGCAATTGAAGTTCTTAAATACATATTTTAAGATCTCGCAAATGTGATGTTTGTGATATATTTAAATTACTTAAACAGATTAAATGACAAATTTGAGGCCAGCTCAAACTTAGGAATGCTGTTGTAAAAAAAAAACTTTTATATTTTGTACCTAAAAATCTAAATTGTAAAAAATACTAGTGTATAAAATCTCATATGTATTTCAATATTCCCATCCTTGTCATTTTCTATTAGAAAAGACAGAGAGAGTGATATTGTTCATAGATGTTTTACACTTTTAATTATGATTAAAAAATTCATTGAATAAAAATAGCTGCTCATTTGTTTGACATATCAAAAAATTAAAAAAAAAACAAATTTTATTTAATTCTGAATACACTATTATTTGACAGTAAGTGTATCTAATCTTAATTCATACAGAAGACACAAAAAAAACAAATATTTCAGATTAACATGTGACTTTTTCAAGTGGCAATACAGTGAGTTTCCACCGACGAAGCCAAAAGTCAACATTCTATTTAAAAAACAGAGAAATCATATTTTTTGTACTGGTATTTCATGAGTTACCCAATGTAAGAGATAAAAAAATATAGCCTAACTAAGAATATAAAAATCCAGGTCTGGTAGCGCTTTACATTTGAATGTACGCAAATAATTTGCATTATTTTTCAAACTGCTAAGTTTTTTATATTCCTGATCAGACTATTATGATTATTTAATGATAATGTCATTTAAACTAAAACAAGACTTTATTCGATTTTTACATAAAATATATTTTTTTAATTGCAAAACTATTAAAATTGATTGTGATATCGAGTCATTTTATCCGTCAAAAAAAGTTTTTGTCGTTTAAAAAAAAATTATTCCATGACATATGTCATTTCTTTAGGGGTTGGTATATACTGAATATTTGAGTGTAATTAAACATACATACATTTAAAAAAATCATTTTTGGCGACAAAAGTACTCAATGTTGCTTTGACGTCAAGATTTGATATTCCTATGGGCTTTGACATACAGAAACACAAAGAAATGTTTTCACACCCATGGTCACAAAAACGACATAACTTACAAATTGTGTGCAAACCACCTCTTCCTTAAAGCATCTTACCGACTGATTGTCAATTTCGTCAGTTTATAATCTCACTGGGTTTATTTTAAACTAAAATCGACTCCGTCCGCGCGTTGTTTAAAAAAATAATTATTATGTTTTTCCAGACTATGTTTTACATTTATGCCAAGTTTCAGTGAAATCCATTCATCCGTTTATATGGGAAAAGAAAAGGACTGTTTTAAGAATTTTCCCGGCATTTATTCGAATTTTTCTCATCTTTTAAACCTTCCCTAGACCTCCACGAACATTTCAAGACCAAGATAAGATAATGTTAAGCCGTTCTAGTTTTAGCGAGACTAATAAACAGCAATTGATTTTTATATATATAGATTTGCAGATATTTGCCATCATTCTTTTAAATCATACATTTAGTTAAAATACGCCAAAAACAATACTATTACTTGACCAATTCTTAATCTAGCTTTTTTTTCTAATTTATATGAATTATATATTATAGTTGAAATTGACAATTTCACCTACAAATTCAAAGATATGTGTGAAGTCAACCCGCACTTGTCCAGCGTGCTTGACTATGGCCTAGTCAACCCTAACTTAGTCTCCGAGCCCCTCAGTGGGGACTTATAGTGAGCTGATGATGATGAAATTGACAATCAATAGGTGATAATGCCACAGATAAAATATAAATCCATAGTTTATACCTGTGTGTGTCAGGAGGGCAGTGCGGGCAGAGCTGGCGGTGCGGGCAGGGCGAGCTCGCGACGTATGTAGAACAGTATGTAAGGCTTGCAGGAGGCGACGGCGGCCGCGTCACTGGCGCGCACAGTCTGGTCGTTGAAGTGGAACCATTGCTCCTCATTGATGGCGAACGCGGTGTAATGTCCTGATCCCGCTCTGCATACAACACATCACAAAATAAACCTCACATATTCTATTTGAGAGATAAATTAGTAATAAAGGTACATTTAGACATAAACCGGAATCCTACGAACTCTCTGAATTTTCAGATCAAGACGGATGGAAAAATAATATTTACTGTTTTAAACTATTATACTCAGAGTCTTTTAATGATTATTTTAAGTCGCTTACTGTAGATTTCTGATAAAAACATTCTTTATGAAAATTGTACACTGGGTTAAACAATAATTATTTGTAGCTATGGGAGTGTGAGAGGTTGGGGGGGTCCATATTATTGGGGGTCTATGGTGTTTGAGGTTCTATGGTTGTGCGGAGGGTGTAGTGGGTGCAGGTGTTGTGGGGGGTGGAGCACTGACCCGGAGCCGTGGTGCACGATGACAGCGGCGAGGTCGTAGAGATGGTCGCGCGGCGGAGAGCCGGGCACGAAGCGCGACATGTCCAGCGCGCGCAGCGGGAACGATATGCTCGTATCCACTTTTGTCCTGAAAATCAAAAACTTTCGTTAAAACTACCCTCAATTCAGTGTAAACTATCTTTTAATAATATTATAAATGCGAATGTTTAGATGGATGGATGTTTGTTTGAAGGTATATCCAGAACGGTTGAACGGTTCTCGATGAAATTTGGAATACATATAGAACATAGTTGGGAAGAATACATTAGTTACTAATTATGTTCTTTTTACTTCCGCGCGGACGGAGTCGCAGGCGACCGCTAGTATTATAAAACGCAGACATTATTTTATCCAAGATAAAAAATATATATGTCTGATAAATAATCATTAATTCCTAGATTATTGCCTTTTGATGAACTGTGTCAAATTTCACGCAAAGATTTCGTGTATTTACCTGAAGTAATTATGCCATCGGAACCTCTTGAGATGCAGGCAGAGGACATTGGGCAGTCGGCGGATCCAGAACTGCTTGGTGGACTTCTGCTTGCACTTGCAGCTGCTGCAGTAGTACCGTTCCGTGTCAGCCAGCTCCTCCACCTGCAGGCAACCATAGCTTAGTTCTCGCTCTCACCAAACTGGGGCTCGTAGATTCTAATCTGCTATTGTCAGCTGGACCATTTTCTTTCAAAAAATAGATTGATTTTTGAAAAATCGTAACACTGTTCAAGGACATATTAAAATAAAAAAATAGAAAGTGAAATTTAAGATAGTCATAGTAATACCTAACATAACCTAACTTCAAGTAAAAAAAAATCTAACAAATAGAAAACAAAATAAGTTGTTACCTGTACGAAACTCGCCAAGCATTCAGCCAACGAGACGGGAGCGTCATGGCGGCCAGCCTCCGGTAACTCGAGAGATAAATCCAGGAACGGATCGAACTTCTTGCTCTCAGTACCGCAAGCGAGGCAACGCACCTGCCAATAATATGACATTTATGACATTTAATACAATATAACTAACTGACGCCCGCGACTCCGGCCGCTCCGAATTAAAAAAAAATTGTAGCATATGTGTTCTTCCAGACTATGTTCTAAATCGTCTGTCGTTCCGGGGATACCTTTAAACAAACATCCATCCATCTAAACATTCGCATTTGTAATATAAGTAAGATAAACACAAGTCACGACATGTATAGAGAGCGAGATTTTTTTTTCATTCAGAGCAGAGATAAAGTTTGTAAGAGTACTAACTTCGCTCTGCAGCGTGCCGCCGAACACCGCCGTCACGATGGAGGCGGCGGGCGAGCGCTCTGCGCGCTCCGGCAACAGCTGCTGCAGCTCCGTGTGCAATCTGCAATATTCAAATTAGTTTTATTCCTACCTGTCGCCCGAGACTCAAAAAAGAAAACATAATCAGTAGCCTATGTGTTTTTCCAGACTATCTTCTACATCTATGCCAAATTTCATCAAGATCTGTTGAGCTATTCCGGAGATACCTTCAAACAAACATCCATACATACTTTCATGTTTATAATACTTGTAGGATTTACAATGTCATAGATCTTAATATTTGATGTATGATAATCATGGCTAATGTAAAATTTTATATCTTCAATTATTACATAAGGAATGAGATATAAACATAAAAGCATTTACTAAAAAAAATCCACTAGATCTATGCACTAGTAAAAATATAAAAGTTCAAATTACCTATCCAGCACATATCTCAGGAACTCATGTGCATCTTGCTGTTGATAGCCCCGGAACCTCGGCACCACCTTCCAGATAACAAGGAACAGGCATTCCGGAGATATGGCGCCTTTTGAACCACATCCACCCGCGTTCAAGTTTATCAAAACCTGGAATAAACCACAAAATATATCACACATTATAAAGACCAAAAATATTAATGTTATGAAAATGTTTAAGATATATGGAAGAAACTTATAATAGCAATAAAACTGAAAAAGGTAAAATGTTTGTTTTGCCAACTTTTAAATAAGTACAGTGTTCTTAAATTAATCCAAATAAAATTTTAAACAATACAGCTGAACCTAGATAAGCAAGAAACTAGCCAGTAAGTAAATAAGCCAGTCATTGTCTAGTCTGCAGACCTGGTTTTCGGATTAAAGAGAAAGTTAATCGAATAAAAAATATCACAGTCCCTTGGACTCTCGCATATCAAAGTTCCGACTGTATTCAAATTTATCAGATATATCCATAAAAGCATTTAGTAAAAACAATCCACTAGGTAGCATGTAAAAATGCAAGTCAGCCCTAACTTAGGGTAGGTTCCGAGCTCCTCGGTGGGGATGTATACTGAGCTGATGATGATGAGTCAAATTTATTTATCACAACACTTTTTTGCTTCTATTTTCTTAGTGGCCAGTATCAATAGGCAAGTCTAATGATCAAATATTGAAATAAAAAAAAATACTTACTTTTCTCAATTCTTCAGCCATAATCACATCATGCATTTCCTGCCGTGTATAACTCCTGGAATGATATACTTTTCTGCCGTTAGTTTTCATCTCTAGAGATGGTAGCTGACTGAAATAGCAGCTAAACTCTTGTATATTGTTCAAACTTTGTAACACAGCGTTCATAAAACATGTATTCCCTAGATTCTTTAAGCCGAGTATTTTCTTTTCTCGCTGTGTCTTTCCATTGCATGGTGACATCTTTTTCTCTTTAGTTTTGTGCTGATTCGTGTCTATGGAACTGCTATCATCAGAATGAGATCGTTTACGTGATCGTAACCTTAGGTTTCGTACGGGTTCTTCCGTATTCTGTAATAATGCAAAATAATCACATGAGAAAAAAAATTATAGCTTTTTTTCTAAATAGTAACAGATATTTATTAATTTACTAATAAAATTTGTAACATTTCAACCAGGCTCTACGCTTGTGCTAGGAATGGTTTTAAATGGTCGAACGGTAGGATTAGAACTCTCAACCATATGATCGGAAATCCGTACTCTTAACCATTAGACTATTGGCGCGATTCACAACTTTTAAATTATGCCAAATAATTGCTTGACGCTTTATTATCGGAAATATGTGAAGAATAATATGTATTTTTACAGATTTTTCACAAGTGGAAACTCACTGTTAACTAAAACATTCCAACATGAACTGTACAAAACATTTACCTTCGCTGGCTTTATCGGCTTATCATAAATATCCGGTATATCTGGAGTGTTAGTAATTCCAGTACTTTCACTAACTATTTCACTGCCACTGCTAGAGGGCGTCACATCCGATATCCTATTCTCTCTGCTGTCTATTGACAATGGTGTATCATTCATAATACTGTCAAATAAACGACTGTTCAATTCATCCCTGTCCTCGTTTTCTTCTTTACTCGGCTCACTGTTGTCATCTCCATCATGTCCACCGGAATGCATCAAACTTCGTCTCAATTCCGATATTATCTCATTGTCCATATCATTGCTAATGTAATCGTCACATTTATAGCTGGAATAAAACAAATAAATTTTTATATCACATTTTGTTTCACTTCCAGTTTATTTTTAGGGTTCCGTACCTCCAAAGGAAAAAAAGGAACCCTTATAGGATCACTTTGTTATCTATACGTCTGCCTGTCAAGAGACACTCCCAATAAAAGAGGTTATATAAAATACTTTAATGACTATTTAAAAGTTACCCAAAATTTATGTCACTATGGATTTAGTAGTAAATCACCCCTAATAGGTAGATAGCTCTATCTATGCAACCACCAAACTACAACACCAAAGTACTCTTGGCTGCTCAGGCAAGAGTACTTTGGTGATGTAGAAGTACAATTTTTTTGTAAATTATAATAAATTGTTTTACCAGTATACTGAATATGCATCACAGCTCATGCATAAGTAGTGATTGGCAGCCTCTGCATGGGACTGTGCATGCCCTTTCACGTAGCGACCACAATTGACAACCCCACATTGGAGGCACAGCCAATTTTGTTCTGGTGTTGTACATTCTGAAATGTTCATTGTTCTACATTTATACAGGATGACCGAAATTACTTATGAAGTTTCTATCATACAACAAATATCTGAAGTAAATTGTAAATTTTAAATTTTGTGACATAAAAATTATAATCCACAGAATTCTAAAAAAAGATATAAAGGGAATAGGTATAAAAATGTTGGTGTTTGTTGAAGTTGTTTTATGTCCCTAGCATAACTTGTTTTATTGATTTGTTTTTTTTTGCATATATATACAACGTCGTACATATTATATCTACAGTGGTGCATTAGCAAATATCTATTGAATACATCATATGATAAGAGTTGTATATAAACCGATTGCAAATTTTACATACTCGGCTGATGTCACAGATTAGGTTAACGACGCAAAATAAATTTATGCTAGCAGCGATCGAGTAAATGTTTTGCTTAGTGAGTCATTTAGAAGCCGTTTTTCGCGCATAATGAGTTTATTTCGAGTATAGTTTAAAAGTATAAATTTATTCTACAAAATTGAGATGCTATTCTCGAGAAAGAGTTTTTTGTGTCCTGAGTTTGATATTTAATCATCTAGAAGTAATTGGCATTCATTTTATTTAATACGCAAGGCGATAGCTTGGCACGTCATTCGCGGTCACCCATGCCGCCTCCCCTCCCCCACTCCGAACAGCTGATTATTTTAAGTTCACTGTATTGATTTTTTAATCTAACCTCCCATATCGAACATAGCTCAACATAGTACAATAACTAGATGGAATTTAAACGTATTTAATACAGCCTATTATAAAAATCAATTAAGCAATTTACCTGAACATTTGAAGTTCTTTGTGATAGTGCCGTCCTGAAAGATGGAATTCTTATCCACTTTGACGTTATCTAATAAATGAGTACATTCCATTATTCATAATAAAATAAATCTTATAAAATCTAAATAAAAGACGATTTTTAATTCATTGAAATATAGAAAAAACTACAAACTCCGCTATGCGCAGCCACTTAGGCTTCGGAAACGAACGAGATCGACATATTATCACTCCACATTTTAAATGTTGGTATTGTATGCGACGAGCAGGCAACACCCATAAACATAACAATTATCGCGTTCGGATACACGCACCCAAACTAAAATTTTGTTTTGAAATACAATTAAATGCACTTTTATAATCAATATCATATACGTCCAGTCTTCTTTTAAACTAAGAAAAAAAAAGTACTTTTTGCGTATGCAAAATGATGTTTTATATTCTACTTTCTTGAAACATAGAAACCTGCTTTAAATACTCAATTTTCCCACAATAATCAACCATTTAATGAATTGTCACAGCAGTAACGGACTTAACAGCACTGTGCAGTAATAATATATTCATTATAATTTTTAAAAAAAAGCAACAAAACAGTCAATATTGGATTAAATACCCAATATTTATTAAAAATTTGCGCCAAAATATGTTCTTAAAATCTTAATCAAGTACTACTTTTTTCTAAATAACCCAGACCAGTTACATCTTATGCAAAGATATCATGTAACTGTGCCCCTTCAAACTACTTCTATAGCGTAAAAACAATATGAATGGTCAGAAATTTTAAGTGGTCAACAACTCTACATTTCACTAAAATTTACATTGTAGGGCATGAATATTTGAGTCAAGCACCATCAAATTATCACCAAAAAAAGCTCATACTAATATTAACGTAAATAACGATGACAAACACAGGCACTTGTCACAAATATTCATGCTAAGTCCACGGGTACAAAGGAAATAAACATAAACAATTTAATTATGATATTATATTTTATTCTCCTTAATTACGTCTGCCACCATAGCCTCCTTGCGTAGCAGGCTGGGTCAATTGAAGCCCATTGATGTTGTTAAAGTCTAGCATCTTCAACATGTCCTTGGTGTCTGGGTCAACCTCAATTATGTCATGTTCAAGTGCCGAAACTTCTGGAACATAGTTATCACGTCTCTCACGCTCCTCCTCTTGCAGTTTAATAGAAATACCACGTACTTGTGAGTGCCTAAGACGTCTCATCAAGTGAGTCGCAAATCTGCAACAATAATGAATGTATAAAATTTGTCCATGTCCAATTTTCCTTTATAATACATAGTTTATAAATTAACTAATGGTTCATAAAAAACTGGTTGCCTATGATGTTACAGCTTCAGATATTTAGCTTGACCTATTGTGGTAAGAATCTCTCATGAAAATAGTGCTAGCATACAATTGGTATAATGAAAACCAAGCATTATGCTAGTAAATACCATTAAGGTTTAAAATAGGACAAATATGAATAGAGTACCTTAGAAATCAATAATTCCAAGCTTTTTTTACCAAACCACATATTTATATTTCGGTAAGTTGCACATTTATAAAATATTTAATAAATTATACCTGTGTATTCATAGGTATAATTATTAAAGGTATTAACAATGATTTACTGGTAAAATTATTATTTCGCTCGTGCTTGGTCTACTCTGTTTTTTTTTCGTACTGATAAACATCCGTCAATCTCTTCCGTGATAAATGAATCAATATAAATATGTACGTTAATTTTATAGTTCAGAAATTTTATAGTTAAAATGCAATGTTTGCATACAAGATACAGACAGACATACATTTTGGTAGGTTAAACATTCAAACTAATAATTACTATGATTTTTTGAATTAATTATTCCAAAAACTTACCCGGCAATTTTATTACGAAGAGGCTTGGTTGGAATAATAGCAATTTCTTCGCATATCCTCTTATTTGTGTCAAAATCAAGGGTTAATCTTGTGTAGTATTTTTCAATAATAATTTTCGCTGCCTTCTTGACGGTCTTAGTCCTGACACGACCCTGAAAGTTACAAATACTTATATTTCACTATTTCTTTCACAACTAGATAGTAAACTGATGTTAATAAAAAGTAAAAGAATCAGTGATTGAAACAGTATTTCAGGATTTAACAATTTCTAAAATTTACCATGGTGAAAACACAGCAATCTTCACTTGACAGTAAACAGAAAAGAGCAAAAATTCAATAGGCATAGACTAGTGTCAGACAAAACCAAAGACAAGAAATTTTTCTCTATAGCTTCTTACAGATTATATAGGCATTTAAAATGTAGATTGCGAACTCAACATTGCAAATTCGATGTTTTTCAATTGGAAATATACGACGCTAAAATAAAATTTTTAAGAAGATTCTTCTTGTCAAAGAAATAAAAATGAGTAAATAAAAGGTTTATACGATTTTGATAGGAAACAAGTTTCCGTTTCACAGATTTCCTTAACCAAGTACCTTAGAAATATAACAACGAACTAATGTTTTTTTATGAAAAATAAATTTTCTTTTGTTTGTTGTGAAAACGTTTCCATTTTCTTCCAAATATGTTCTCTTTTAAACAACGTAGCTATTTGAGCGCATCGATATTATTTTTTTTTTTTTGTTTTTAAAATCGATAAAATCGACCATCGACAAAGCATCTCTTCAACATTTCAATTTCAATCCAATTCATTTTCTCTCATTCGTTAATTTTACCGCCTTGTCTGAGATCCTTGTGAGCGGCTTCCTCAGTGTGAATTTTTTAATAGTTGATTGTGATCCGCCTGATATTAAATATTACTATAAGTGTACTGAATATTGACAAAGTTGTTATAAATAACTATCAAAATGTTTTGGGGTAAGTTTCGCAGTTAGCCGGCCGCATTTTGTTACCACGTGTTACAGTGGTATCTTTCATGTTTCCTGCATTTTTACATTTTGTTAGATCTTTAAATGATCATGGAAGGCATCGTAATAGTTCTATACATCTATTTTTGGTATTGGTTTTCTATATTAATTGAGAATTTTAACGCTAATGTGCTATCGAGTCTCCCAGGTTGCACGCACGCGTACTTACTTTTTAAACCAGAAATTTCAAAATAACTGTAATTATGATTTGCAAATCGAAGTATGTATATTACAATATAATACTTATAACTATTTGAAATTTGTGGTGAAATTATCACTCACAGTACAGAGTTCTTTTCAGGGCTTATTATGGAACCGAACAAACGGTACACCCAAGTGGTGGAAAAGCCGTTCCACATTTCGCAAGCGGCGATGGATATTTCCACCGGCGACAATGACCCATGCCAAGTTATGGTGGTGGTTGATGGTAAAAACTTCCTTGTATGCACACTGCAAAAAAACAAGTGCATACAAGTACCATTAGACCTCTATTTTAAGATCGGAGACTCTGTTGCATTTTTAACTAATGGTAAGTAACCTTAAAAATACATATATAATTTGAAGGTCTTAGAATTGGTGTTTTGCTTTCATACGGCATTTTCAGTTTTTCACACCCAAGTAAATATAGTCGTTGTGAGTTAGTTGAAACTTTGATGGAAAAAGTTATTGGGATATTTCACTGATTAAATAAGGTAAAATTTTATAAGAAACTAGCTGTCGCCCGTGACTCCATCTGCGTGGATATATAAAAAAACTCAATCAGTGTAGCCAATGTGTTCCATAATTTAATCGGTTAAATTTTATAAGAAATGTGGTTGATAAGTAGTACTTCCGATGAGACTCTATCATTCTTCATATTTATATTATAAATGTAAATGTTTAGATGGATGGATGTTTGTTTGAAGGTTTTTCCAGAAGGGCTGGAGGCATCTCTATGAAATTTGGCATACATATAGAGCATGGTCTGAAGGATCACATAGGCTACAAATTATTAATTTTAATTCCTTGCACTTAAATAACAATTTCACCATACATTTAAATATATTCTACTTTTAAAAAAGTTTATGTAATTATGGATTTACCTTTGGAGAGTCAGAAACATAACAATAATTCATCTTTTAAGGTAAATGTAATGTCCACCTGACTGGATACTTGGACCCTGACTTTGATGAGGAGCAGTCTGATGAAGAGGAGGAGGCTGAGTCAGAGGAGGAGGAGGAAGCACCAGCTCCTGTGTCTTCAAAGAACAAGAGGAAGCAGTTAGATAGCAGCACGGAATCTTCAAGCAATAAGAAGGCCAAGGTAAGCTATATTTAACAGTTCCCTTCAGGTATATTTTGTAAATTCTTATGGAAATATCCAATACAAATTCACATACAATCCATACATATATTTATATACAACAGAGATTGTATTTTTAAGTATGTGTGCTTATATTAGTATAGTTAAAGGATTGGGTCCAATTCTATATGGACTCAAATCAAAATCATTGCAATACCATTTTTTTGTTAAAATTTCATAAATAAAAAAATTTCAAATAGTCATAACTTTAAATTATTTATTATATTAATCAACAAGGTTGTAGTAAATTTACTGTGTGTGGTTTTACAAGGTCATCAATATTACGCAAATCAGATCCATTGATAGTTTATGAATATTTTGTTTATTGTACAGAAAGAGAAGAAAGGTAAGAAAGCAGCTGAAGAAACCTCAGACTCTGATGAAGAAGAGGATGATTTGCAGAAATTCCTGGATGGAGAAATAGATACGGATGAGAATGATGAATCTTTCAAAGTGAATACATCCGCGGAAGCTGATGACAGGTATTTATATATTACTAGCTGTCTTAAAAAAAAACTTAATTAGTAACTACACTATGCTCTATCTATCTATGTAATTTTTTTATAATGAAATTGCTTGTGTGAAAGACAAGCTTTGGTGCAAATCAAATTTTTGTCGGAAAGAATAAGGAATCATAAATATGGAACATACTGCAAAAAAACTTGACAAGACCTTGTTTACATTATTCCAGTCCAGCTCTGAATCAATTGGTAGTCATGAATAATGCAAACAGAACATAATGTGTTGACTTTGTAATATGAAATGTTTAAGGACACTGCTATTATCTTAGACTTAAGCCATCAATCAAGAAACAAAACTACATCAATAATTTTTCTTACCAGTGAGGAAGATTCTGATGAAGAGGAAGAAGAAGGGGAAGAGGAGGAGGAGGATGATGATGAAGAGGAGAATGAAAAAGGCGAGAGCACTGAGGCGGACACCACCCTCGACACAAGCAAGGACGAAACTAAAGTGGATATGTCTAAGTTGACTAAAAATCAGAGGAAACGGCTCCGTAAGAAGATGCAACAAGGCAAGGCGCCGCAAGTGAACGGTGTCGAGAAACCTAAGGTATTTTCAACCATCTAAAATAGTTAAAATATCATATCTTAGTAATAATATTACATAATAATTTGTAACAGCATCTTAATTTTTTTTTAATAAGAAATTTGATATATGTTATTGAGTTATGTAGTTTAGAGTAAAAGATTAGAAGTCATGCAAAAAGAACTTGCAAATACTTAAACAGTTAAGTAGTTTGTTATTAATTAACAATTATATAAAAAAAGGAAAAGCCAGAGGCACCGCAAAAGGCTGAGAAGAAGAAGGCCGAACCAAAGAAGGAAGAGGATGCAGCTGGTGATAAGAAGGAAAAGAAAACTCTGAGCGGTGGAGTGGCTATTGAAGATCTTAAAGTGGGTGCAGGACCTGTCGCTAAGCCTGGCAAAGTTGTTACGGTAACGTAAACATCAAACCATCAGTTAACAAACCACTATAATTTTACGGTATTACTTAGTTTCATCTTACAACTAGCTGTCGCCCGCGACTCTGTCCGAGCAGGATTCAAAAAAACTTTATTAGTAGCCTATGCGTTTTTTCGGACTAAGTTCTACATCTATGCCAATTTTCAGTGAGATCCATACAATTGTTCTGGAGATACATTAAAACAAGCATCCAAACATTTGCATTTATAATATAAGTAAGATGAATTTTACAAAATTACAAACAGTTAAAAATGTAGGTATGTCTTGTTTCGATCCAACACCAAATTGAAGTTACCATGTAATAGTCAAATACATTACCATTCTTCATATGTGTTAAGGTGTACTACGAGGGTCGGTTGAAGCAAAACAACAAGATGTTCGACAACTGCCTGAAGGGACCTGGCTTCAAGTTCCGTTTGGGCGCTAAGGAGGTCATCAAGGGTTGGGACGTTGGTGTCGCAGGGATGAAAGTTGGAGGCAAGAGGAAGATCATCTGCCCACCAGCGATGGCGTAAGAAATCATTATTTTTGTCATTTTATTGAATTCAAAATTATTTTAATATGCTCTTATAAACTAATTTATGCCTAAACTTCCCAATCCTCGGTATTTGTAGTATAATACAAAGAAATGAGAAAATAAAAACAATATTGAAATTTTCTATATCTCCCTATAAATTCAAAATATATTGTTACATCTATAGATCCATCAACTTCATATAATTTGATATTTGTTTTTTTTTTGTCAAGAAAAAATCAACAAATTACAATTAAGTATTGCAATGCAGAACAGATAGGGCCTTTGCTCAGCTGTATGTTTATTACCCCGGGGGGCAAAAATACTGATATTCTGCAAAAGCCTTTGTGCCCTCAGTACGTCAGTTACAGCAATTGATAACATAAATGATGTAAGATTGATAACATAAAATGTAAGATTGATCTAAATTATAATTTTGTCTACAGGTATGGTGCCAACGGTTCCTTGCCAGTAATCCCACCGAACTCAACTCTTACATTTGAGGTGGAATTGAAGAACGTCAAATAAGTTTTCATATAATACCCTAGTTTCCTCACTGAGGTTTTTATGATTGATATGGATGTTTGATGTTCATGAATGCTGTGTGCATTTATATTGTGCCAATATGAAGTATCTGCAAATATTAAATTCAAGCAAACATTTGCTTTTTGCAGATGCTCCATATTAATTAATGATAAAAATAATTTTTTAAGTCATTTTAAGCTAAGTAATACTTAAGGTGGACACTTTTATTGGCCAATGTTTGATCAAATTTTACATTGTGATAGAAAATATTTGTTTAATGTCAACGAAAATCAACAGTAAATGGAACATTTTATGTGGAACAATATTTAATATCCGTGAGGGAATTAAAGAATGGTTAAAATGACTGGCTGTGATCAACCTAAGGAGTAAATTAAATTTTGTGTCATGTAAAAAGTTTAAGATATTGCCACAGTAATCCATCGGCAGCCTTGAAAACTAGATTTTTTGGTATTGCCATAATTAAAATATAATAAAAGAAAAAAAACATTTTTATCACAAAATGTATTTGATCAAAAATAGGTCAATAAAATCATACTAGTGGCCAACTAGCATAAAACATAGGCAACTTAATTTACTTATTGAAATAAACAGGATTTAGACATGTGAAGATAAAATTAAAATTTTGTTTTACAACACTTTTTTTATCTGATATTTTAATTTTCCGTGCTTAGTTATTGTAAGTGTACTTGACTTGAAACTGTAAAATAAACATTTGAATAAACCAGTTGTTAATTTTCTTTAAGTATTGCAGCGTTCATTTAATTAAATTACTATTTTTTGAAAACCTTTCTTTTATATCTTCCTATTCTACTTATTTTTTTTATCGATAACACCACAAGCGGTCACCTGTGACTCCGTCCGCTCGGAATGAAAAAAACAATCAGTTCTTCCAGACTATGTTTTCTATATGTATGCCCAATTTCATCGAGATCCGTTCAGCCGTTCTCGAGATATCTTCAAACAAACATCCATTCATCCATACATCTAAACATTCGTATTATAGTATTAGAAAGATTTCGAACGATTTAGGTGAGTTATTGCCTTTAAAAATATATTATTGCTGTTTGGTACAGATGCACTATTTCAAATTTCGCGGTTCGTTATACGCATTATAATGCTTTTTATTCCTTCACAAGTGGGTAGATTAAAAAATCCCTTACCGCAATGATCGCATGCGGGGAAAGCGGAAGTAGTTGAGAGTTCATCATCGGGAGTGGACGGAAGTTTAACGGAAAGAGTAGCACATCGGAAGTGTCGGTTTTATAGCGTCGCTAAGTCTGCGGTTTCGCGTTCGGTTTGATAATGAGGCGTCTATAGTGAGCTTACGGGCACTAGTGCATTGTGTGCAACAGTAGGGGAGAATTGCTAGCACTTTTAGACTATTTGATAGTGATTTACTCGACTGATACCAAAAATGATCTGCAGACGTTGAACGGAGCAACAAGCTGGTAAGTGCTACTTTACTTATAATACTTCGCCAACCCTTGCAACGCGTTATTTGATGGTGGTAGTATGTTTTATTTATTTTTATTATTATATTTATTTTGTTTAATGTTTACATATGTTGAAAAAAGAAAAACAAAGAACAAGTATCTGGTTATTTAAAAATAATCCTCTGCCTCTTTGACACTCCAGGGGATGATACTAACATAAGAAAATTGGTAGAAATATTTAGTCTTTAGATGTAAAATCAGTAATCATTGCACTGACAAAGCTAAAAAAGGTAAATCCGAAGCTATTTCCACTAGCATAAAGTATTGTAATAAGAATTCCATTTGTTTAAAAGATCTTTAATTTGTTATTTAAGTTACAATAAATAATATTTATTTAAATGCCCTTGTGGAATCACCATTACACATAAGTTTTCAAGGTTTTCAATAATACAACATAGTTATTTCCGATGTTGTCACATATTATAGTCAAGGTAAAATATTGAAAACATAGCTTTCAATAAGACTAGAGATTTATAATAATACTCATAGATTTAAAATCATCTAGTTCTAGAATAGTCTATACATTTTTTTTTGATGGAACATTTTGCTATATAGTTTCCTCATTCGTCCGTTTGTTTCTAATCACTTTTTATTCGAGTATCGTGTCTTTGTTGTGGATTGTTCTCTTCCGCTGGTTCTGGCTCCGTGATTTCAGTTTTGTTCTTCACCTGTTTTTTTCCAAATGAACAGACTCCACCTTCACAACTGAATGGGAAATCAGTCTTTACATTTCCATCAGCGTCTTTAACGGCCCAAGGATTCCAGAAACGTAGGACATAAGGCTGAATAAATTTGTGCCACAAAAACAATAGAACTGGAATGATAAAACACGGAACGCAAACCATGTTGATATTGGTTTTAAGTTTTGTTAAATAAAATTTTTGATTCTAATCACAGGCTAGTTTACAGGCAAAATTATGAGATTTTTTAATTTTTTTTGTTAAGTCGTAATTTGTGGCACGTCAAAATAACAAATTTGACTGATATGAAGATATGAATTTGACGTTTAATTAAATCCATAGACAAGAACATCAGACTCTATGGTTGTGGCCAGGTATAGAAAAGGTACCTACCTAAATACTTTGTGAAAAATAAAATTTATTCTTATGTTTGATTTTCGAAACTTTTGATCGGAATTTAAAGTGAAAGATTTTTTACAATAACATTAAGGTAATTCTGAAAAGTTTTTTTTTTAATAAATACGCGGCCTGCAAGAACCCTATTTTTGGGTAGAGATATAGAAATAAAATACTTTCCTTTAAAATAAATTTTTATTTCTTCACATATTCTATCAGACATAAGGGTAACTTGAGTAAGAAAACATTTAGGATTTTTTTTATATATTTTCGATATTACATATATCAATAAACTTCTTATATTTTAAATACTTTTATTTATTTCTTAAAACGTAGGAAATATACAATCTTTATACGTAACTCTCAAATTAAATACAACAAAACGTTAACTTTAAATATATAATTTAATTTAAAAATAGCTCTAAATAACATCTAATACCCTGTTCAAATTAATATTAGGAATAATATTATATTGCATAGTGTAAACAAAAAAATCTATCAGTACTTACAACAGATAAATAAAATTTAAGCATTCAAAAATTGGCAAAGATTTTTTCTTATTACGAATTTGCCCTGATATTTTTTAACAACAAGCGTGAACTGTAAATACTTTAATACTTAATTTAAGCCCTATAGTAGTTAAGTCCCAGATGTAATAAAAGTATTTTTACGTCTTTTAAAGACTTTGAGTTGTACTGAATAAAAATTGTGCGCGAATATTGATTTGAGCACAGAAAATAAAACTGACTATACAAAAACTGTCCATGGAAGAGTAATCGACTTACAACTACTTTCAGTTTCGACTTAATATAGCGATTTAAATGACCAGATTATTACTAAAATAAATAATAATTCGAAGCCATTGAGCTTTAATTTACTCGAGTATATTTAGGTATATTTAAAATTTTTAAATATATTGCAGAGTTATGTTTATTTAACATAAAATTTATAACGCAAATAGAACAAAAATATTCAACTCTCATATAATTGTATCTCTAGTAATTCTTGCTATTATTTTTTTTTCAACCAATCATTAACTAGTCTATGAAAATACAATTTTCTTTCTTTTTTCGACACTTATTTGTATGAGATCTTTCTCACAGCACTCGTATCGTAGAATTAACAGTAGTAAATAATCTAATTGTTTACAACAAGAATAAATAGCTATATTAATATTTAAAAAATATATATAAAATATTTATGACTTTATAAATTTAGTTAGGAAGTAAAACACTTATAATGAGTAAATAATGTTCTAGGCACAACAAGTCTTGCATGGCACAGATAAAATATCAATAAAAGGCACCTGTCATTGTATTGCATAATCTTTGACGCTCGCCAGCGCCACTTTCAAACGTGCGGGTAATTCTGGCAAACTGTAGACCGGATCAGATATTGGAGGCAAAGTCAACGCGTCAACTGATTTCTCGTAAGTGCTGTAAGCCAAGTATAACTGCGAGACATGATTAATTTCATCGTCAGTCATGCAAACTGAACGAAGTTGTTTTTTGAAATCTGAATCACCGCATTTTGAGCAAATCTCTTCTAATATACACATTTTTGTTTCTCTCTTTCCGTTATTGCGTAAAGGTTCGACAAATTCGTATTTTCTCTTTCCGTTCCTTGATTTATCGTCATCTGAGTATAGGACGAATAGATCATCACCGCGTCTGTTCGAGCAGCCTTTTCTTGCAATGATCTCGCCTCCTCCCTTCATCAAAGCTGTACAGAGTTGTTCCGAAGGGTTTTCAAAGTCGTAGTACACGTATTTGGACTCTGTACTTGTCATGCTGTTGTTCTCTATATGTAGACTGTACCGGAGACGGATTTTCTTTGGTTTTTTGGTGCATTTCAGGTACACGTGTATTGGTATCTCTAAGGAAGCGCATCCAGACTCTTGTATTTCATATGGAGGCTCGTGAAGTACTGCAATAAAGATTAACAACATTAAATAGATAAAAACCAAAGACCATTTTCCCTTAACAGAAAATTATTTGAAAAGCAACTATTTGTCGGTTTTATCAATTTCTTGAATTGAAATACGTCTTAAAATGTATACAAATAATTCAACTTTATTCAGAAGAAAAATATTCATATTTAGTTTGAGCTTTTATACTTGATTGAACTAAACAATCCAATTTACAGAATAATAGAGTCTAGATTTTTATAGACATTTTTATATTACTTCGATTTCATATCACGAATATATAGTACTAAGTAAGGAGTAAATAAAATATAAGAAGACTACATAAGAAGAATTTCGTTAGAATATTTGTCTACTGTAGTGACTGATATCATCGATCTTAGATGCCTTGTGTTTGTGGACGAGTAGTAACCACTCTATTAGAACCTAGAACTAAGTTATGTTTGGAACAGGAAGTGGGTCTAATCATATTAATATTATGAATGTGAATGAATGGATGGATGGATGTAACTTGAATATATCTCCGAAGCGTCTCAACGGATCTTTATGAAATCTAACACAGATGTAGAACATATTCTGGAAGAACACATAGGCTAATAATTTTTTTTTAATTCCGCGCAGACGGAATAGCGGGCAGCAGCTTGTTTGAGATATGACACAAATAAACAGAGCGAGAACACCGTTTAAACAAATATCTGCAACTTCTGTGCGAACGACGCATTGTTTTTTGTTTTGCCGTCTTTTTTTGCTTAATTTAAATTCCCAATGGCCTGCGATCATACGGCGAGACGACTGCATAACCAGGTAAGGGGAAACTCTTTAAAAATCAAGGTCACTTTATGAGTTGTTGTTTTAATAATGTACGATCATGAATTATGGTCATGTTAACAGAAAAAAATGTATATGAACAAGTGATTTGCGTGAATTTACTAAGTGGTCACTGCTTCGCATTATGCAAGTATATATCGTTCAATAAAATGACGACTGGATTTGGTCTAGAAGACGAGAACAAGCGGTTCTGACACTTCTTATTTGAAATCCTAAAAAAATGGACTTATAATCGTGTCCCCAGTATACAAAAAGCACATGCCTGTTGACATAACATATGGTTAAGAACTTCGACTTCCGACGAGCAATGGTTACAGTTTCTATGTTTAATTTGATCTTAGGTAGACTATTTAATTTTTTGAATGTAGGTACGTATCAGTACCGTACCACTTAGAGTTGAATC